TAAGATCTTTCAGCAACAAACTCCAGCTACACACAGGTCAATAAGTCTATAAATATATCATCAGGTCTTCTATCCAAGACAGACACTACATTTTTTTCCAGGTCTCACTTATCCTAGTGGTACAAACCTGCTTCTTGCTTCCTCTCTAAGACAAACTTTGAAGGTATTAAGTACACTGCAATTGCCAGCCTCACTTCCAATTTCCCATTCTTTACAGAAGCAGCTCTACTCAGGCTGCATCCACTATAACTATCAAGGGCAAAATTGTAATTATTAAGATAAAAACAAACTGCAGATCACTAAAGTCAAAGCCTTCTCTACTTTGAATGTAGGACAAAGCTGAGCTCTGATTCCTAGCAAAAGTTCCCTAAAAATGTTCCTTTTTGTCATAAAAATGCTACTGAGTCTATGTCTCAGTTTGGGGTCTCATCTCTCTCAGATCTTACATAGAGCTAGATGCTGATAAACTAAAACTTAAAGTTTACTGCAGTGATAGTGAACATTTTGGAGCTTTTGATGATGCAAATAGTCTGCTGTAGCACACATGCCATAGGTTCAACACCACTGATCCTAGACCTTTTTCCTGAAGTGTACGCTCACGTTGCCTAACCTGTGGAAAACTGGATGATTGATCTTCCTAACTTCTTTCCATAGTGGTTTACATGCCAGTTAATAGCAATTGATCTTCCAAACTTCTTTCTATAGCAGTTTACATGCAAGTTAATAGCAATTTACCCTTCCAGTTTGCTCAGACCAAAGAACCTTTTAACAACTCTTCATCTCTTTTCCTCTCTTTGTCCCTCTGTATCCAAATCCCTGCCCACGTCTTAAATCCATGCCCACATTTGATTTCTCAACAAATCTCAAAATATAACCCACTTTTTACCACTTTTCAACAACTTCCCTGTCACCACTCTGTCTTAGCATCCATCATCTTGCAAATGTATTATGGCCACAGCTCCATTAATAGTCTAGTTTCCACATAGTCTCTTCTCACTCTGTAGAGGAGTATTCAACACAGCAGGATTGGCTTGCTAAAATGTAAGTCCACTGACACCTCTCCTGCCATCAGATGCTCATAATACCTTCTACTTTCCATGGAGGAAAAGGCAAAGCCCTTGCAGTGTCATTAGGGTTTTTAGTGCCCCAGGTACATTTCTGACCCTGTGTTGTTACTCTTTCCTTGCTCACGTGGTCATATACACAACTCTACCATCTTGATGTATTTGTATTTGCCATGCTCTCTCCTGGAACAATTTTACAACAGAGAGCTTTCTGGCACTTTCCTGAACCCCTTAGATCTTTGCTCAAATATAAGCTTTCTCTGCCTACACAAAGCTTTAACATCACAATAGCATCTCGGAAATCCTTTCCTTATTATTCTTCATGCTACTTATCACTATTGGATTTTATGACATAAATTAATTAATTTTTTATTTTATTGAGAAACAAATAGCAATGAGACAGTTTCAAAACTGATTAATAGGACAGTTTCAATAATTAATACATTGTACATTGTTATCTTCTTAGTGGTTATGCATAGTACAAGATGCAGACAGAATATCCTGTCCAAACACTATTAGTACAAATCTTTCTTCTCATCAAATTAAGTGAAAGTAGCTGTATATCTATAC